TGTACATAAATATCAATTACAATTATTATTCAAATATTTAATATCAAGCAAGTTTCAATTATAAAAATCACTGTGAAGTATGCAACAATATTTCAAAATGGCGGTTGTTAATAAAAACATTTATGTTTATTCAAATATTTTTTAATGTCTGTGTACATAAATATCAATTACAATTATTATTTCCTCTAGCACAATGACAAACGCGTTTGCGGTTCCGATAACCGCGTTTATCCATCAAGATGTCATTTGCGTATGGCCAGTTGCAAAAACAGACTGGAATTGTATGTCAAACATGAAGGAGAATGCGGTAATTATATAATGCATAGAGATAATTATGTAATAATAATAATAACATTGAAATTAAACCTTGCAGATTCCCATAGTCCTTGCGTGGATCATCACTGTTCCCAAATTGGTTCCCATTGCATTTTGGACGCTAATAATCGCCCAAAATGCGAATGTGTGCAATATTGTTCTCCAAAAGTTTTTAAAGGTACGGTAACTACTTTGGCATTAATTTTATTTAATAGTGTGTGCTTAAAATTGATATTTCTAGATGATTGGATCTGTGGGGATGATGGTGTGGATTACCGCAATATTTGCGAATTACAAAAGGCGTCATGTTTAGCTAAAACTACAATCACTGCTCTGTACAATGGAACATGCGGTAATAAATGCAATCATGCACTAATTTCAGGACATGCCATTTAACACTTCTATATTTTTTTTCTCAGATCCTTGTGCCCATATGACATGCCCCCATGGCACAATTTGTGTCTTGGACCAACAAACGCGCCAAGCAAAATGCGATTGCGGTCCTGAAATATGTTACAAAAGGTTTGCAAGGTCTCCAATGGGTCAAAGGAATTACTACCAGGAGTCTTCAGAAGTTTGTGCCAGCGACCACAAAACTTATGCCAACGAATGCGAAATGAAGCGCCAAAGTTGTCGCGAACAAAGACAAAATAATACACTAAAAGTCGTCTACAAAGGCCACTGCGAAACAGGTAAATAGTAACAGACTAGTTTTTTTAGAAAAAGTCTTTTACTACTACTAATACCCATTAATTTTTTATTATTATCTTCTATACCCAGGTGTTCATCCCTGTTCAATCCACACATGTGCCTCCTCCCAACACCGTTGCGAATTGGAGCCCCAAACGGGGACTCCCCAGTGTGTATGTGGCCCCTCGCATTGTCCAAAAGTCTACACCCCCCTTTGCGTAAAATCGGAGCACACAATCGATAAAAGCCTTATGAAAAATATCAATGGAAACGACAGAGTCTTCACCATGGACTCTTATTGCAATTTGGCCAAATTGGAATGCCAACATGGACGACGGTTGGAGGTTTTGCATGAAGGAAAATGCGGTAAATAGATAATGGAAATTAGATTATTTGAATTTGTATGTACGATAAAAGATGAATCAAGTAGTGCTTGTTTTGGCATAAGAGTTTATCTTTATTGTTGAGAACAGTTCAAGTGTTTAAAAGCATCAGTTTATGTTTTTGCTAAATCTTTAACGAGGGGGATATTTATGTAGAGATGCAGATGGTAGCAAAATGTTTTATATAAATATATAAATAGATATCATGAAAATAACAATATTTATCTTTTCAATTATTCCGGACAATATTGAAATTGGAAAATGGAAATTAATTAACAATATTGGAAATTGTAAAATAAACAACTTATAAAAAATGTTTGAATTTTTATCAGATAAGTATTCATATTTTAGTTGAATATATAAATTATATATATATATATATATATATATATATATATATATATATATTAGGGTGGTCCTTAATATAGACATTTTCGAATTTCCTTGCTTCCAAGGGCTCAAATGGTTCCTCAATATTAACTTTTAGATAGTGCGCAATTCAATCAAAGCTTTGTATAAAAATAGCATGAAAAAATTTTCAAAAATTTTAAAAATGTTTTTTGATATAATTTAACGAACAAATGAATGAGTTTTATTCAAAGTTTGTCACTAAGTTATACCTATTTTTTTAAATTTTCAATTATTTTTCATGCTATTTCCATACAAAACTTTGGTTGAATTGCGCACTATCTAAAAGTTAATATTAAGAGCTAAAACTTTCAAAGAATTATTTTTTATCAATTTGGAACCATTTGAGCTCTTAAGAGCAAAGAAATTTGAAAATGCCCATATTAAGGACCACCCTAATATATATATATATATATATATATATATATATATACATACTTTAGCATTTTGTTTAAATTGTTCATGAAATTTTGATTTTTAAATATTTTTTCCATTTTCAAAAAGTTTTAAAAGTTTTATTAGGCAAGAATATATTGATATTTTTCAACATTTTTAAATATCAGAAAATTTGCAACTTTAAAATTTAAATTAGAAAAACAAAATATTTTACAAATTAGAAAAACATTTTTTTTCAAAGTTACTTCAATATTTAATTTATATTTCACAACATATTATTTATTAATTTTAATTGAATCAAAATCTACAAACATTTTTTTATTTAATTTCAATTTATTTTTATTATAATATTTAATTTTAATTTTATTTTTTTATTTTCAGATTTCGGAACAAAATATATAAATGCCTAATAACAATTTTGAATTTTAAATATTTTTTTTAATTTTAAGAAATATTTAAATTTTTATTAGACAAGAATATATTTATATATACAAAGAATATTGATATTTTTAAGCATTTTGAAATTTGAGAATAATTGCCAATTTGAAATTCAAAAACTTAATATGTAATAATGTAAATTTTATATATTTTTCAAAGTTATTCCAATATTTAATTTACATTTCATTCAATTAATATAGGATTATTTATGAATTTTCATTGAAGTAAAATCTATAAAAGAATATTTAATTTGAATTTTTAATTTATTATTATTATAATAATTAATTTTGATTTTTTATTTCCAGATTCATGTGAAATACTTGACTGTTCTTATTATTCAACGTGCCTTAAAGATGGTAAGTATTTTTTAAATACTGATATTAAAACAAAAGTCATCAAAAGTGCAAGACGATTATTAATTTCATTCAAATTTAATTTAACAAATCAAATTCTATTAATTTTACCGAACATTTCAAAATTATGTTACTAAGGATCGATCCGAGGATCTCTGGCATGTAATTAGGGCACCTTACTGACTTAGCTATTTCCGCCATAAAATATTCATTATATAATTTTCTTAGGCTATGGGTCCATAATTAATTATCTTTTTTATTTCTCTTTTTTTAAGATGTGGGAAGAGTATCCTGCGTGTGTCCAAAGCTAGAAGACTGCCTCTTTGACAACAGTACGACCAAGGAACAATACACAGTTTGTGGAACAAATGGAGAAACCTACTTTTCGGAATGCCATTTACACGCAGAATCTTGCAAGAAAAATCAGCACATAGCCGTCGCCCATAGTGGAGAATGCGGTAAAAAAAAAATAAACCACAACCCCAAACCATACCCAAAACTAAAACCTTAATCTATTGGTAAAATAAAAATGCTTCCTTTAAATTACTCAGTTTATTTTAAATGTTAATTGGTTCACGGTTCAGCAAGAAGAGAGTTATTTTACATAGCTTTAACATAAACATAAATATAAGATGGCGGATACATAGGGGTAGGGGAAGAGTATTGCCAACATCACTAAGAATAATGGCGGAACATTTGAATTACAATATATTATTACAGTCTCAACTTGACTCTTTCCACTCTTGGTGTATCTATAACAAATTACATTTAAATAACGTATATCAAAGTGCAAGTTCTCAGTTTTTCACATAAGCGCGTTCCAATACTTTTTAATTATAAAATTTCTAACACCAGCATTGATAGATGTAATAAGATTTAGGAGTTCTATTTGATTCTGGTTTGTTTTTCACGGATCATATAACTGATATTTGTAATAGAGCACACAAATCTTTAGGTTTGATACTGAGAAATTGTAAACAATTTAAATCTACCAATGCGCTTCTTTGCATGTACTATTCTATTGTACGTTCAAAATTAGAATATGTTCGATTATTTGGTATCCTCATCAAACCAACAACTCTGATGCGATAGAGAAGGTTCAGCGAAAATTTCTGAAATACCTTTATTATAAAACATATAAAATTTACCCTGAACGTGGCTTTGACCACAACACTTTACTAAAAGAATTAGGTATTCCTTCCCTTGCCTCACGTTGATTTATCTGTACAATTATGTTCTTATTTAAACTTTGCAATAATTCTATAGACTATCCTCTTATTCTTAATCAACTATCCTTTAATGTTCCAAGGCTATCTACGCGTTCGCAATTATTTTTCAATTATCCTACTCCTAAATATAATTCTGTCTTATATTCGCCTATTTTACTTATGTCCTCTAACTTTAACTTAATTAATAACGAAATAGATATTCACAACACTTCACCTAATCAAATAATCTCCATCTGCACAAGTTAACCTTTTTATTTTTCTTTTCAAATATCTCATTATTTTATCTTATTCTGTTTATAAATAATATTGTTACTTTCTGCATTATATGTAATTTTATGTAAGCATTTTATGTTAATAATTATATATTGTAATTTTGTATATATTTTAATTGTTATTCATTATGTAAAATGACTGTATTTTTGAGTCCTCTTGGAGTAATCTGTGGGCTATATATTTAAATAAATAAATAAATAAATAAATAAATAAATATATCACATAACACAAAATGTGTCAAACAATTTTGTCCATCTATTACTATTCCAGATCTCTGCGCCGGTGTCATCTGTTCCTCGGGGGCTCGCTGTTCCCGAGGCTCTTGTCTCCGTTCTGGGGGCAACGAGTTGTCCGCCGAAGTGGTCGTAGGGGGCCCCACCCGTATCACGGACTTAACCCCGAGAACGGAATGTCAATGCCATTTATTGGGGACGGCTGTGAGAAGAATGACATCTCTTGTCGGGAATCAGGACGACAGGAATAGATACGGAAGCGTCTCGTGCGCCTGCGAGTGCATGAGGGGGGTCACTGGGGCTAATTGCGACAGGTGAATAAGATAATTGACACATAAGGATAAAGGATTTATGATTACTGTTTTGTTATTTTTTAGGTGTATGGAAGGTTATTGGGGTCTCCATCTGACTGAATTTGACGGTTGCAAACGTAAGTCAAACCAAACCAATTTTCATTATCTTCTATATATATAAAAATAAGTCGGGTTTTCCTTCCTGACGAAATAACTCCACAACGCACAAACCGATTTCGACAATTTTGCATTCGTTGGAAAGGTTTCGGGCTCCGCAAGGTTTATATCTAAGAAAATTAGTTGTGCATGGCATCGTGCCTTAATACAAGCTGCTGGAACTTCACGCACCGTAATTAAAAATTCGAGTAATGACATTAGTAAAAACTATCAGAATTATGCTTGATTAAGTCAACGAGCAATTCTTGCCGCAAAGAATAATGATGTACACGCACTGAATTTCACCATTCAATCAAAAATTGCTGGCGATTTGGTGACATACCAATGATTCCGACTGGTCTTCCGTTTGACTTCAAACGATTGCAATTTCCAGTTCGCCTTGCGTTCGCAAGGCCAATCGCTTAGTGTTTGCGGGATAAATTTCAAATAGATTATTTAGAAAATAATTGTTTTTCACATGGGCAGTTATACGTTGCCTGTTCACGAGCTGGGAAACCATCCGCTTTGTTTATGTTAACGTCAGTCCAAAAAACAAAAAATGTGGTTTACCAAAGAGCACTTCAATGAAACGGATAATTTGCGGATTCACTTTCATTTACATAGAGAAGTTCAACTAAAAAACACTTCATTTTTGTAATCGAAATAAATTCATTATTGTTGTATAATAAAATCAAATTTTTCCTTTTCAAATATAAAACAAACAAAAAAATTCTTCATCTTTCTCACGAAACCATCTGGAGTTCGTCGGGTTTGCTAGTTTATATTATAATTTCCTATTAGTCCATCTAATATATTTCAATTTTCTAAATCAATCTCTAATCCAGGTTGCGAATGTGACATCTACGGTTCCTTAAGATCAGACTGCGACCAGAACTCCGGAAAATGCGTTTGCAAACCAGGAGTCATCGGAGCAAAATGCGATTTGTGCAAGTCGTCTAGAAATGCACCAGGACCTGATCTATGTGAAGGTACAGATTTTTTTAGCAAATACAATTAAGATGGTTGTGTATAAATATTAATTTGTGATTTAGATAATGCAAGTTATGGAAATGGTGGACAATTGCCAAGGGATGAACCTCAACAGACAAAATCCGTGAGGCATCTTATGAAGGTTCCTGGTACGCATTCTGGAAGGCCCATATATAACACAGGTAGATATCAACCTTTATTTACTCAGTTTTAGGCTTCTTCATTGATATATAAAAATTTCGCATGTATCTATTTACAGATCAGTCCCATACACCCATGTTCAGAACCACCAACCCAAAACAGTACACATGATACCAGCGCCTCTACTGGGTGATCTGTGCGAAATGGACAGTCATTGTGGAGCCCCGGGCTCTGTTTGTCGTGGGGGCGCCTGTATATGTGAACCATCTGAATCAGAAAACGACAGTACATCTTCCAAGGAGGAAAATTCATCCAAAGGTGTTAAAGAAAGATTAGTGCCAAGTGCTGATAGAACTGCTTGCGTTCCAATAAGTAAGTAGAACAATAATTGAAATAGACAAATATTATTTTCAATTATAATCTATTACATTTCAGATTCCAAATCCTCCCCAAAACCCATACAAAATCTACCAGCCACTCCAGGAGTTTGGTTCAACGGTCGTTCCTCCTTGGCAATCTTACGGCCTCCTGCCTCAATCCTGGACCTGGCCAGGTACACGGTTTCCCTGCACGTTGAGCTAAAAGCGACTCACCAGGATGGTGTCATCGTTTATGCCCAGGCCAATCCTACTGGACATGGTGATAGGATAGGTTTGGCCCTGATCAATGGCAGAGTTGAATTTTTCTATGATTTAGGTAAAAAAAAATGGAACAATAGAAATAATAATGAAGACTATTAAAAATGATTATTTATAGGAGGTGGGCCAGTACGTCTGATGTCACCAGGGCATATTCGGTTAGGAAAACCGTATCTGATCCAAGCCAGAAGGTAAATAAAATAAACAAATTTAATTTTGTTTATATTTGTGCATTTCATTTAATTCTGTTTTCGTTTTGCAATTTTTCAGATACAGAAAAGATGGTTGGTTGCGTGTACAACCTCTGGACGCTGATGAAAACGACCAGGAGGAAAATAATGAACCAGTAACAGCAACATCTCCTGGTTCTTTGACTTCTTTGGATTTGGATAAATCTGAATTTTATATTGGACGTGTCGCCAGTAATTATTCGAGGTAAATAAAAGACACAAAGTGTTGATGGACATTGATTCATAGATTGTGGATTAACACCTTAATGGATATAAATATATTTATTATACTTTTTTCTTTATAGGGTCTATAGAAATATAGGTACAACCCAAGCCTTCCATGGTTGCCTATCTCTTCTCCAAATCAACGGCATAACAGTCAAATGGCCCCAGGAAAACAAAAACACAAACGACCACAATTCAGAAAACAACATAAACACCAAAGAGCGCCATTTTGAGGTCATCCAGACTCCAAATGATGAAGAAACCAAAAACAAACCCAAAAAATCTGATGACGGTGAAGAAGTTGAAGAAGAAATTATTATCACAAGTTCTGAAAACATCGTGGCTTGTTCTAGGGCCCATTGTGCCACTCAACCTTGTGCACATGGTGCAGTTTGTGTCGAAATTCCAGACACCTACAGGTAAAGAGTAATAGACACATTTTTACAGCAAATTATTATTATTACTTTTATAATTTTGTAGGTGTGTCTGTCCACCAAATTATACAGGACCACGTTGCGAGTACGAAACAGATTCGTGTCTGTTGCGGCCCTGCATGCATGGGGCACCTTGTGAAAAGTTGGTAATTGAAAATGATGTTCCTGGTCAGGATATAGGATATTTTGGACCTAAAGAAAACAGTGTAAATGTAAAATATAAGTGTAAATGTCCTGCAGGACTGCACGGGGACCGATGTCAACATGGTAAGAGTAAAAAAAAGTTTTACGAGTAGTTTTTATAATAAAAGTGTTTATCTATTTTATTTTTTAGTGGAATCATCAATAACCTCCGACCTCTGGATTCCTGCATTTTCTGGACGAGAATCCTACCTGTGCCTGGCAACTTTACAAACAACCGACATACCAAATCCTGATAAAAACTCATCTCTCCATTTGCCTAAAACAAATACTCCTGGACGTTCTGCAACTAAAGAAACAGATGTGCGAATCGAATTGTGGATAACATTTGCTGATGACATAACAAGCAGGCGTCAGGCCAATACGATTTTGTACTGGACAGGACACAGTTTGCCTGGTAAGGCTAGAAGTGGAGATTATTTGGTGCTGGTGCAGGAAGTCGGTGGACGTTTGAGGATGAGATACAATTTGGGAAGCGGACCAGCAGATATCAGGTAATAGATTGGATAGACAACAATGAATATTGGGTATTATAATAAAATTTGTTCAAAGGTCGCAAAGTGCTTTATCATCAGGAGTATGGCACCGGATAAACTTAAATCTACGTGGTAAAAGAGGTTCTTTGTCCATAGACGACGGGCCCCCTTATGTAGGAGTATCCCCAGGTGCACATGCTCACCTCACTTTAAACCCTATGAAAGACAAAATATACGTAGGAGCACCACCGTAAGTACCCTGGTCGCTACATCATTATCATCTAACCTTCTATTTATACAAAATTTGTGCGCAGGTCTCATGTACATCTACATCCTTTATCTGGGGCTACAAGAACCTCTTTCAGAGGCGCCTTGCAAAGAGTTATTTTAAACGATAAGCCCATGAGGGTTCTGGGTCCTTTAGTGATGTGCGACCAGGAAAATATTTATTATTCAAATTTTGAAAATACCACTTGTGCCGGTCGGGGTGTTTTAAAGTATAGAGGAAAACCTTGTGAAACTTTAGAAGGACGAAGGTAACAAATACTTGTTGATTTATTCATATGATGTAGATATTAAATATTTGTTGTGTTTGTTTTTAGTATTTGTCTAAACGGTGGAATGTGTTTGCCATTGCTGAACGATTTGATATGTTTGTGTCCAGAAACTCACAGAGGAAAATATTGTGAGCACAATAAAAATGTTTTTGAAAATCCGACAGCAGTGTCGAGTGAAAATGATGCCTTGGAAAGTTCTAGTGAAGATAATGATGTAAGTTGTGATATAAACTATAAAATTGTAATGAACTCTTTGGCACAAACTAAATAACACCATCAGTGTTTTTTGGAAAATTGAGACTCCTTATAACGATCTAGTGATCCCTAAAGAAAAAAACACATAAGGTGCTCTAAGAACTTACTAATTACCATTTATATACGTTTATGTCTTATATGTACCTCTTGCAACCTTTATTATTTCTAAAACCTGTTCAGAACTTCCAACATTTCCAAATTTTGATACAGAAGATAATTGACCACAGAATATGTCTTTCTTTTTCATATTCTCAAATGTTTTTCTTCTGATTTTCTTTAATAGAGAAATTATGTAAATATTAATATATCAATATTGATATATTATCAATCCTTTCTTTAAAGATTTTAAGTATTAACTTGTCAATATTTAGCATAGTGAAAGCAAAAGTTAGAGGAAAATTTTTGTAACTCAAGTTTAAGCATGTTTTAAGGGATATTACATGGTCAATTATATTTATTTCGGATTGCACCTAGCCTGTACAATTTTCAACTCAATTACAGATTATTAAATAATATTATTATTGTTCTTTCAGAATGAGATTCCAATAAAATACAACACTGCTTACCACTTTAATGGCAACGAAAGGCACGCCTACAGGAACCGTTTGACAAAAACGTAAGTAAACTTTTAAATATACAAAACATCAAGAATTTATCTTAATTATCAGTGAAATATTAAAGTCTTCCTTTTCCCATAGGAGATCCTTATCCAAAGGCACTCGCTACCAATTAGAGTTCAAAACCAACTCCCAAAATGGACTTATGTTCTACCGAGCCAACAGTGGTAAAGATGCACCCCTTTCCAGGGACTATGTAGCCCTAGCCTTATCCAAAGGAAGACTGCAATTGGCCTATGTCTGTGGGGGCGATTTGGCCGACGACGTTAGGTAAATAAATGAGAATTTCATAAAGATACAGGTTCAATTCCTGTCTGGGTAGGAGTAAGATTAATTGTAAGAGCTCTGATCTTGCAATAATAAAATTACAGGTTCAATTTTTGTTTGGAACGACCTGGTATCAAGCAGTAAGAGTAGGAGTAATAGTTGTTGTAAAAGATTTGAACTAGCAATCATGAAGTTACAGGTTCTAATCCCGTCTGGGACAGCCTGATGTCAAACAGTACTGGCGTCACTTGCAAATGCAAAACTAAATATGTTTTTAATAAAATTATTCTGGTAGATATTGTTAGTAGTAATATAAAGTAAATCTTATCTAGAATTGAAACCAAGAGTAGATTTACGTGCTACAGTTAGTGGTGCAAAGCGGTTGTGTTTGCAATCTATTTATACTTCTTTTATCTGTATATTAATGCTTATTATTATTTTTATCAGATATCTCCAATCGCAAGTATTAGTAAACGATTCCAAATGGCATAAGGTCACGATAAGACAAAGGAAGAATTCCATACAATTAAAACTGAATCGTGAAAGAGACATCAAAGCCCGATGCAAAAGACCTCAGCATGGATTAAAACCCAACACGAAACTTTGGCTAGGTATTTTCAAATATTTTCAATTACATATCAAAACCATTCCAATAATTGTGATTCTTTTTCCAGGGGGTGCTCCAAAGAATTCGATGCTCTACTCCACACTGGTAACAGACGAGTATCTAATTGGATTTAAGGGTTGCATCAGAACGTTTTCGGTGAACAATCAGATTTTAGACTTGTCCAGGACGGCTCCTGGAAGCTCTTCGAGGTCCTTACAACTGTGTCAACATGGATAATTGAGTAGTTTTTATAAATTTTCAACAGTACTTAGCAGGGTAAAAAATATCAATAGATTCAATTTTAATGCTGAGTTCTTGAGTTAATCCTTTCGCTGACGACCTGTGTGTACGAGTATCATCTATAGACGACATCCAGGGTGTTAACATTTGCTTCAATATCATTCTGAGTTGAATTCTAATTTGTCATCATACTTTTTAGTACTTTAGAAGTGTAATTTTGGCTTTCTGGCTCGTACACACTGGTAGCAAAAAGGTTCATTAATTAGCTAAAAATATCTAATATAATAACCGAATACATTTAATTTAACAAAAATGCGCTTTTGACTATTTTATTAGTTTAAAATATAGCATTAAGAGCAATTCAGCTACAGATATACAGTATTAATTTATCGTACAGTTTTTTATTTATTATAAATACAGTAAAACCCCGATAAGACGATTTTTGAAGAACCATTATCTATCATCACGGTCGTCTTAACGGGGTTCTACCGTATTACATTGTGTATGTTGTGATTTTATGAATGTTTAATTATTGTTTATATTAATTAGTTTAATTATAGTTATGTTGACATGTATTTGCAAAAATATATGTTGATGAAATAGTCACAAAATATATATAGAAGTACCTTAATAAATATAATTTATCCTGATTTTCCTCTAGGCTAAATATTTTAAAATAAGTCTATTGATAACATTTGTTAATATTATTACATTATTAATTAACATAACGTTAATGGTTTATTTTAGAGTATTGTTATATTATGTATTATTTGATAAAAGGGCAATAATAAATTGTTAAAAGTTAGTTAAATGATATTATATAGGACTGTCTTGTATTGTAACATAATGAATTTTGGAAAAAAATACATTTTTTAGGATATTTTGAATAAATTTAATACCTTAATATATTGCTTTCTTTGATTTGTCTATATTTTGGAGTACGCTATAAGATGTTTTAATTTTTATAATGAAAATAAGGAAATTTTTATGTTTTTAAGAATTTAAAAAGTCGTTTCTGTTTAAATAATGAGTGTTGATCTATTCCACAATTTTGCTCTACGCTTCAATTATCTCTACATTCCTCTCTCTATAAATTCGTAAAAGTCTCTCTATGGCGATCAACGTCAAAAAGTCGCTACTTGATTGTTTTTTGTACCAAGAGTTATAATAAATATGTGGATATAAATAATATAACTATTACCCCAGCACTGTCCTTATTATTTTAAGGATAGCAACTAATTCCTAACAACAACAATATAATATATAAGCTCTTGTCCCTAATAAATTGTGCTTGTCTGTGATGTGTCTGCTATATAAAAATTCCCAAGGCAAAAGATAATTATTACTACAGCCCATTAAGTGCTTTACACATTTATATATTTCTATTACCCTGTTATGGCTCAAACAATGACGACATCAAGAAGTGCAGAACGTAGCATTCACGAAATGTTAAAAGACAGTCCGTCCATGAACGAGACTTCAGGGGCTGTACAATCTGGTACGGCGGTGCCCCCGAGTTCATTAAATTTATCCTCGGGCTCTAGGGGTTCTGGAGGTCCTTTCAGTGCACCTGCCACTCCCTTACAGAACGGAGACGCTTTACTGAAAGCTGGTGCTTCAAAAATAGATTCTTTGAAAACTTGGAGTATATCAACATACAAATGTACAAAACAACTTATGTTTGAAAAGCTCGGAAAAAGCACCAGGACTGTGGACACAGGTATATGGTAAATGATTTATGTGGTAAATGACAGTTTACTAACTATGTTTGTGTTTTTTTAGAATTGGAGGCACAAATAGAACAATTAAGAGACACCCAACGCAAGTATTCAAATGTTTTGCGTCTTACAAGAGCGATGTCTGCTCATTTTCACAACGTAGTGCAAACTCAACATGCTTTAGGTGAAGCATTTTCAGAGTTAGCACAGAAAAGTCCTGAACTTCAACAAGAATTTTTATACAATTCGGAAACACAAAGAAGTCTGACTAGGAATGGAGAGATTTTGTTAGGGGCTCTTAATTTTTTCACATCATCTGTAAATACTTTATGTAATAAAACTATTGAAGACACTTTGTTGACTATAAGGCAATATGAAATTGCAAGGTAGATAATTAATTCAATACATATAACTAACAAATATATAATTATTCTAATTATCTTTTTTCTTTAAGAGTGGAGTATGATGCCTATCGAAGTGATCTTGAAGTCTTAGTACAGAGCCCGACAACTAATTCAAATACTGCACAGAACCAAGACGAAGTGCAAAAGAATTACCAAAAACATAAAGAGAATTTTGAGAAGTTACGTGATGATGTTTCTGTTAAATTAAAATTCTTAGATGAAAATAGGGTAAGCAGTAAAAATTTATTATTAACAATATGTATATAAAAATATTTAATGTATTTTTTGGGCTTTCAGATAAAAGTGATGCATAAACAATTGTTATTATTTCACAATGCAATATCTGCATACTTTTCGGGTAATGGTGCTGCTCTTGAAGCCACTTTAAAACAATTCAACATAAAGGTAATAAAAGACACATAGAAATATATATGAATATATAACATTAAAATGAGTTCTTTATCATTATAATGAGTCCTTTATCCTTTTATCCCTTAGATGAAGACACCAAATTCGACAGTACCATCTTGGCTTGAACACCAGTAGTAGGACATCACGAATTTTATATATAAATGTATAGTGCAATCTGTCCATACAACATTCTGTTTAGTTTTAAGTTTAATCATAATTTATAGACTGCTTTTATTAATTTAGTATAAAGATGCTTACTTTAATTTTAGATTTAAATATAAACACATGATTCTATTCTATTGCATTCCATGTTAAAATAATTTATCTGTCCTTTATTCCTTTCTAGTCAAATTTAATTATGGTGTTTCACGAATGCGTATAACTAGAAATGTGATTGTTTTATAATATCGATGATTATGAATAATTGTGTGTGATTTTGCATATGGAACTAAAACTTGTATACTGTATCTAAAAATAGTTAACCAGTGGTAAATTATAAACAAACAATTATTATTGTTCTGTTGTTAATTCTCTTGTATGATTATTTGAATAAATATATTTGTCAAATTTGAAAAAGACTCAGTAAATGATTTATATTCGTGCAACTAAATATGGAGACATTTGACAAAGGTTATGAAAAGCACATGGAACATCAATTCAGCAAATTGTGTGATGTTTTCATATTTATTAATTACACAAGGATTAATGTACTTTAGCAAAATTATTACTTCAACAGGATAATCATTGTAACTTAATTTTTCCAAAACTAATGTCGTAAGAACGAATACTTCTCCATGATGCAATTTTGACATCGTTGATTAACATGCACAATAAAAAAAGGATTAACTTACCCTAGAGATTTTGTTCCCTGGATGAAGCCATTTATATAACTTTAAAACTTTTTCATAACCAACGAACATTGACAATAACCACGCCACATTTTCATTTTTACAAACGTTGATTTATGGAATTTTCATACTTTACGTACACGACATTATATTTATTAAATGAATACACAAAATTCAGTAAAAATCACGTCTTAGTTTAATAAATATAACAAATAATTTATATTTTTTACGTTCATGTTCTCGTAAATGTCATTAACTGAACCACAAGGAAGTTGGGTGCAGATTATGCAACTTGAAAACTTAAAATACTGTCAAAAAAGTTTTAAAATTCAAAATGACTTGTAAAGCGATAAAACATTCGTTAAATATGAATTAGTAGATAATAAATGAATATAATAAATGTTTATTCAATAAAATTTATTTGTTTAATTAGTTTTAATTATTTAAAGAATGGTTTATGCTTATATATCCATTTTAAATTTAGGTGATGCCATATTGTGCCAAAATGGGATAAGTAATTTATTGTTTAAAGCATTTGTATTTGATTTTTATAACTTTCGCGTTTCATAATATGTTTTTTTAATTTGTTTTTTATCTTTTCTGCGTTTATATTAACTTTATCGTAACCAACGATCATTGACAATAACCACGCCACATTTTCATTTTTACAAACGTTGATTTATGGAATTTTTATACTTTACCTACACGTCATTATATTTATTAACTTAAAATACAATATTTAGTAAAAATCACGTCTTAGTTTTATTAATATAACAAATAATTAATAATTTGTACGTTCACGTTCTCGTAAATGTCACTGAACCACAAGGAAGTTGGATGCAGAAAACTTCAAATGTCAAAAAAGTTTTAAAATTCAAAATGAGTTTTGTGAAGCGGTAAAAAATTCGTTAAATATAAATTAGTAAATAACAAATGTTTAATTAGTTTTAAAATTTAACTTTTCAATTAGTTTTAATTATTTAAAGAAAAATGGTTATACTTATTTATCCATGGGCTTATCTACAGTAAATTTGGGTGATGCCATATTGTGCCAAAATGGGGTAAGCAATTTATTGTTTAAAACATTTATTGTGTATGATTTTTATATCATTTGCGTTTCATAATAATATATCTTGTATTTTGTTTTTTATCTTTTCAGCAATTTTTTTAAATTTCATGTAGTTTTGATAGTTTTTGTTATAGAAGGAATTTTAAATATAAATATTTATTGCAATAAGCCATTTTGTATCAACTGTCAAAAATATATAAATTTAAAAAAAACTAACAATAACTTAAATAAAACAGTTAAATATTACTTGAAAGTTCACTAGTTTAAAAAGTGTAATAATCTTGTTTATGACTTTTAAAGAAAACAGCAAGTAAATATCAGAAATCATAATATTCAATACTAAACCTTAATGAACAATTTCTAAATTAAAGCTAAATATAAAATACTTAAAACAAATTACAATCGACTTTTAACTAAAACTTAATTTATATTCGAGCAAAAATTATACACCTTTTGTAAAATTATCATTTTGGTGCTCAATCTTCTTTATGGATTTTGAATAAACATAAAATTTGTCATGCTTGGTGTTCGTTACAAATACAATCCATAAATATTGAATATAATTACAAATTTAACTTATAAAACCCTGAACATTTTTCTAATTTACACAAACAAAATATACATGTGTAAAAATATTTTACAGCTGACGCTGGATGTAACATGAAATTTCTTAAGACTAAATAATAGTCCAACTTTTATTCATTATGTAAACCTTGTGATCCTTCAGGAACGCACAGGAACATCCTAGCACAAAACAGATTGAACTCACTCGATAGCCTCAAAAGCCATTGAGGTTTATTTTGCCAAGCGATTAACACATAATAAACAGGGACTCCGGATATTATTATTCCAACACCGACAGCCACTTCTAAGGTTGACACGTAACAAGGTAGAGTTACTAGAAAGCCACAGATTATGAAGAATAGAACTGGAAGGACAATGTTGACCTAAAATGTAATTGATTGATTAAAAATCAGGGTTTTTGATATGCGTGTTATTTGAGTACCTTGATGGGTCGATGGGCTGTTGGGTCTTTATACCTCAACCACAATAATCCTGTCACGCTTAGCAAAATAAACAGGGATTCCACAAAACTTACATAGTTTATTAGCATGTAAACATCTTTTATCACAAGTAGAACCAATGTTATAATGCACTGAAAAAATATAATATATATATATATAAATAATATATATATATATATATATATATATATATATATATATATATATATTATTCAGTATTTCATTATTACCATGAATATCAATGATGGCACAGGAGTCAAACGTTTAACATCAATCAAAGCAATTGCCATTGGCAAGTGACCATTTCTTGCTCCAACAAAGAACAACCTAAAAATATTTGAGTCAAACATGGAATAACTATGATAAATTACTAATTATTACCTTGATGAAGCAAAAATGGCTCCATTAAGGCTTCCGAATGTGGAGCATGCAACAAAAAAAGGCATAAGCCATGAAGCCATTCCCAAAGTAACATCACCAAAGGTGACAGCCACAGCCGTGGATGATAAAATAGTATCTCGACTCAGTACTGCAAAATATGACATATTTGCCACCACGTAGATTATCGTCACTAATGGCATGGATATGCAAATTGCTCTTGGAAGATTTCTAATAAACATATACAAAAGGTTAGTTAAATTTTAATTGATGTATTAATTTTTGGTTCAATACTTACTTATAAGGATCCTTCAGTTCCTCGGTAACAAAATTCAAATAATTCCAACCCGAGTATGAAAATAAACCTGAATAAAATGCTAAAGCTATGAAACCTGGTTCTAATTGAGATCCTTCCATTGGATCTTTTAGATTTTCTGTATGGCCAGTAGCTAAAAATTTAAAAAAATGTATAAAATGGTAAGAATTTTTATATATTCGTCTTTATATTACCCAAGTGAACTATTCCGGCTATCACTATAACAATTAAAGCTAATATTTTGGTCCATGTAAAAATGTCCTGAACTCGTGTCACCCATTTTACATTAAAGCAGTTAATAGCAGTCAGCAGACCTAAAAAAATATTATCAATATTAATACTTAATAAAATTGCACTGTATTATCTGACTGAGTTATACAAAACATAAAAATTTACATTTTCTTTTATTAATAGTATTTTTTCTTACAAGTTATGACGGCTGCCAACAACCGGACCGCTACATAAGGGGGCACACAGTCCTTCCAAACCGGTTGCAGAACATTTTCCGCAAAAGTCAAGGCAGTTATGGCATTCCCCGTGGGGACCAAGACAAAAAGGGCCACCCACAAATACAGGAATGAAGGCAGGGCTCCGAAAGCGGCTCCGATGTACGCGTAGTCGCCCCCGGATTTCGGTATCATAGTACCTGGATACAAGGTAAGAGTTAAATATTATATAATAATTGTATAACATTAATTCATTCATGGTTTTAAATCATATGTTGCTAATTAAATGTTAATAGCCAAATTCATGTGACGCTAAAAATTACATCATAAAAATTAATACATTTTTACAATTATTTATTTAAATAATTAGAGTTGATCCATGAAATTAGCAGCAATGATCTAATGGATAAGATCTGCTAAGTGTTTTTAATATTAATTAAATAAATAATTATAAAATTATTTTTCAAAAAAAGCAATGTATATAATTAAGTAGCTACATTTTAAATATATTAATTGATTGATCTACTCATTTTAAAAAATTAAAAAAAAATATTGAAAATGTTTAAGGAAATCCTTGCCAATATGGATAACAAAATATATTTAAATATGTTACATTTTTTAAAATTCAACAGTAACAATATTTTAATAATTATTTATATATCATTTATTTATATTATTATATATAAGTAGATATAAATACATAATTAACTAGTTGTAAATGGCATTTTGCCTTAGAGCACAACTAGTGTGTAATTTTCAAAAAATCGAATTTTCAATTTTTCCACATTTCGATAGGTTATACCTTTAAAAATAACATACCAAAATTTTAAATCGATATCGTAAATAGTTTTTGAGTCACAGCCATTTAAATAGTATATAGTGCAACGATTGTTTTATCTTTAAACGCGTTTTTCTCGAAACAGCATTTTCCGAATTTGCTGCAGCGATTACTCAAAAACAAATGATCCGAACAATACCGATTTTTTTTATAATTATATATACATATATATTATAATTTTATATGATCTACCTGTCTACCTGTCCACCTGTCCACATATCTACCTTGCCTACCTGCCAACTTTTCTACTTTTCTACCTGTTTAAGAATGTTTTTTGAATCATTCAAATCGGTTTATCCGTGCTCTCAAAATCGTCGACGATGAATTGTTATCGTGTTTATTATTCTACCAGTTTATCTGTATCGATTTCTTTCGTTTTTTTTACCTTACAACCTGATTACCTGTATATTTGCCTACCTGACTACATGCCTACCTATATAACTACCAACTTGCTTACAAGTCTACTTTTTTTCATTTCTACTTTTGTACATGTTAACCTGTTTAATTGCCTACCTGTCTAACTTTCTAGTAATTTAGTAATTGTTCTATTTGTATAAGATTCAATAATGATTTGTAAAGATCATATTTGCCCAACAAAAGTCTAATTTGAAAATTTTTTTTCGGTATCTCCAAAACCGATGGACCTGTCTGCGCAAAAATCTAATCAATTTTTCATTTCGTCAACACAAGTAAAATATTTTTTTTATCATTCGAATTGGTCATTAAAAACTATCTTATTTTTTTTTTTGCTGTGTATTTCTAAAACGTGTGGAGCTGCCTTTGGCAAAATCTAATCAGTACGTCTCCCCGTCAATAGGAATCGAATTTTTTGACTCATTCAAATCCGTACGCCCAAAATCGTCGACGAAAATTTGTATCATACATACATACACATATTCATCAATTTTCTCTAAGGTATGCCAAAATGTTCAGAAAATTTGAAACGTCATTCATCAATTTTTTCTAAGGTAGGCAGAAACGTTTGAAAAGTAAAGATATGCAAACATTTTATTACAATTAAATAAAAAAATTCATGTGTCTTTAATAATACAATACTCATTGTCTGTTTTTGTAAATTTAATCCTATAAAAATCTTCAAAATCAGGTCAATTTATTTCCGTACTTTTATAAACTGATTTTCGTACATTGTATAAAGTGTGAATAGTTGTCATATAAATCGGACACGCGAAGACCATGTTGTTTTAAAAATATCTTAGAAACTTTATTTATAGAATAGGATTTATGGCATTATTTAATTTGCAGAATAACTACATACGAGTACAATGTAACAAATGGCCAGCAACACATGCTATTTTAAATCAATGAAACTAATTATATTCTACAACTTGGTTTTCAAAAAGAAAAATCTTATAAAAAACTTGTGTCTTTTTTTCCTTGTTTTAATTTTATGGCCAGGGCCTCCTTTTGGCCGCTCGTTCCTGGTCAATTATTCTCAATTGCCGGTCGGCTGTCAGTTTATTGTCCTGATCTAATAAAACAGATTGACACACAATAATATTATCGCACAATAGATAATCGCAATGGCAAATATTTAATTTGCAAAATTTTATGCACCATTATCCTTTTTACAAATTCACTCGTCCTATTGTAGTAATACAACTCATATAAAACAGCTCCTTAATCAAAGGTGTCAATGAAATCTTTATTAATAACAATTTGTTCGAGTATATAAATAAATACAGTTTTTATCTGTGTTTTATGAGATAATTTGTTTTTTATGTAGGAAGTACCCCGTGGACTTTAAACAAACAATATCTGAATATAAATAAACAATTTTATGGGGCTTATCTCATTTTAATAGCCATGTAGACAAGTCGTCTAGCCACCAGTTTTTATATTGCTAATTGTTATCAATACATTAATTTATTTATAAACTTCAATACATTTTATCACAAAAATATAAATAACTAGGTGTAAGTGGCATTATGCCTTGAAGCAAGTTGCATCTTGTTGACTTTATCAACAAGAATTATAATTAGCTATTTAGATAAAATGTTCATCTATTTGGAAAATAGAGAATTCGCTTTTATTAAAAACAATTTTCAAATGTTAGCTTTCAGACTTCTTTCCAGCAGATTTAGAATTTTTAAAAGCGATCCAAGATTGCGGGCTAAAACGTGGACACAAAATTTAACATTTTTCTGGTATTTACAAAGAAACGGCTTGGTCGATCGTTGCACACAGGCTTTTAAATTTTTAAAATTGGTCCAGCCGTTTTAGAGAAAACTTAGACAAAAGGTGAAAAATCGGCTCACATACATACACAAACAAACATTTTTCCCTAAATTCGATTCAGAATAACTGAAAACGTCAAGATAACATAATTTTAACAAATACCATTTTTTGGCCAAAACATAACACATTTAGCAAGGAAAACCACCGGGTTGCATTCCATAATAAGTCTTGAAAAAACATAACTTAATAACAATTTAAGGTCTGAATTATAATACATATAAAAATGTTATGTTTCCTATTACATAAATATTTTCCATTCAATTTATTAATGAGCAATTCCGAAATAACAATGGAATGTTTTGCTTATTTTGGACTCCATGTAAGTCTTAAAGATTCTCATCAGATAATCCAAACACACATTGTTCTATATATTTAATTTACAAATAGAACTGGAGGTAAAATTTGTAAAATTGAGAGAAAAATTCATTCAACAATCATACGATTTTAGATTCTTGATAAAATTTAAGGGCCGATTCTCGGATAAAATAGAAATGTTACGGGTCTATCTTCGTATGAGTTGGTAGTAATAAATTGTCAAAATGCTTTGTATTTGCTGTGCGATCAGACGTTTTACATATAAAACTTCACTTATGTGTAATCAATAAAGATGAACTTATGATAAAATTGTTATTTGTAGTGCAACTTTTTGACAGTTTGTCGCTACAAATTCATACGAAGATAGACCCATAACATATCTATATTATTGGAAAATTCTCTCCTGGATATTTAGAATCCAGAGAAGAGTTACAGTTTAGGAAAGAAAAATGAAAAACAAATCTTCTTTCTTATGTTTGCGTACCCAAACATTTCTTTCGATTGTTTTCCCGACGTTTTTCGTTATATTTAAACTATTTCGTTACTACTATTTGACAAGTTCATCGACTCATCTGATGTTTTTCTACTAATTCTGGACGCAGTCCAACTTTTTTTTATAGTCGCCTTTACAAACCACCTTGCAAAATCACAAGAATCCGTTTATAAATATTATGTTCAAACTATTTTAGTAAACCAGACATTTTCTAAAAACAATTTTCATGTTTCATGTTCATAATTTCTGAAACGTCAAACTAGTACCAACCTAATTCCGCGTAGCACAGGGCGCCAACCATCGACAGCACCCCCGAGAGCACCCAGACAATCAGCGCCTGTCCAACGGACCCGGAGTACATCAGGACCCCCTTAGGGCTCACGAAAATTCCCGATCCGACTATAATACCGACAATTATGGCTATTCCGTCCCATACTCCTAATTGTTTTTGCATTTTAACACCATTCTGTGAACTTGGTCCGCTGTCATCCTTCAGAGGTTGGCATTCCTTACTCGTACCCGCCGCGAAGTTGTCCTTGGACGAAGATGGTGCAAGTTGACGCGGAGGCTGAATTTCCGATGCCGACACTTTCGCCATTTTGTAATTGACTTTTGTAATTGTTAATTGACTTGTGAATTTAACATTAATTTGACTAAACTATATAGTAAGTGGTATCAAAAATATTTGGCTAATATTTGGAATGGTTTGGCTTGTGGAAAGTGTGTTTTCTTTGGTCTGCTTGTCAGATTTGGTCATTAATCTGTGGACAAAGGAAAGAAGGTATAGAAACAATAATAAACTATTTAAGTACAATACAATTCAATAGTAATAAATTTACGGTTTATAAATACTACTACTGCACAATTAAACATTATTTGAATAAATTTAAAAAAAAAATCAGTTTAATTCGCAAAATTTTTGACAAGTCCCATGTACTTTTTTGACTTTGTTATAGTTAATGTACTAACACTTAAATTTTATTTAGGAACCCTGTGTGAAACTATAATCTGATACAACCAATGGAAGTCGCAGATTAAAATGGAAATAATGAACTAAATAAAAAGTATGGAATTAATGGACTAAACAAAATAAAAAGTTCAAAAGGATAATTTACAATGTTCCATATATATTTCTATCTGGCCACCTCTGCTGATGGTAATAAAAGTCTATTTGCACAGTCATAAAATAAAAGGTAATTTTCGAATCCACGAGCTTTTCAAAAGCTGTACTTTGTGTGCCAAGTGATAATTTACAATCATTTGCACAATCCACAAATATTTGATATCGATTCAAATTATTATTAGAAATAGATTTTATTAGGAGATTCTAAACTCTTTCTGCATTTGCTTATAACCTGATAACATGCAAATAAATTAAAATAGAAACATACTTTTCCTTAGGGAAGTTAAAAATCATTAAAAATAAAAAAAAAGTAAAAATAAATGACAAAGAGTGGAAGTTACCAGAATTACTATAAAATAATACAATTTAGTTGAACAAAATAGAACAAAAAAACTACAAGAAAATACAGTAATATAAAATAGAGATGGGCTTATCATATCCGAAGCCGGATCGACTCCGAGTTGACTCCGCTTCAGGGAGGAGTTATATCCGGTTAACAACTCCACGACTCCGACAACTTTGAAACCGAAATACTTGACACAAATGTGTTCTATAGTGCGTTAAGGATTTGTCAAAACCCATTTAATTTTTTGAAATGAAAATTTATGAATAAAATAAAATTTAAAAAATATCAATAAAATAATTGTTCAAAAAAAATCACAAATAAATGTCAAGTTGTAATATTATTCGGTCGACCACATGATCGACAAAGTATTGTTATTTCAGGCTATGGAAAAACCAGATTAAATGTATTTTGTTGCGTGTATTTTTCGATATGTATATTCCTGATTGCAGTCATTCACGACCAAAGATTGTCGTGTTTAGAAATATGACCCCTTACTATTCAATAAATTATGCATTGGAACTATTCACACTTGATCACAATTTCATTGTTCTGTATCTTTGAAGTAATATTTTTGTATTTTCTGGAAAAAAACCGTATACCTAAAAGGTCATAAAACTGCCTGTGAGACGAGAAAGCGACAGCTTCCTTCCCAAAGCAAAAACGCAGTAACAGATTTAGTACCAGTTTAGGAAAGTCGGATATGACAAATCCGGTGAGACAACTCCACTCGGATTCACTCCGAGGGAGGAGTTGTATCGGAGTGATAACTCCGGAGTGAGTTACCCATCTCTAATATAAAAGTATATATAGTAAGTTTAAGTATATTTAAAAATAACAAAACAAAGTTATAAAACTAAATTTCTTTGTGGGTGAGTTCTTTTAAGTGTTTTTGAAATTTTAATAGCCAAAAGGTTTTGTCCTATAAAAAGCTTTTTTCTTATAAATGCACATTAAATAAGTATAAGATAAATTCAAAATAATTAACTGTAATCTTGCATATAATTTGCTGGTAATTTTATAAAACTTGCAAAATAGCAAGATAAGAATTTACATAAATTATGAGTATTTTATAAATTATAATTCTCATTTTTTTAAATCCATCATCAAGTTTCTATTGTAAAATATATTTTAAATAAATTTGGAAATTTACTGAAAGAGTTTAAAGTAAAAATTATTAATTTCAACACAATAGTTCAGTTTATAATATAAAGAATTATTAATGCAAAAAATTTAGAACACAGATAATTTTATAAATTATTAACCCCAATAATTTAAAAAGTGCACATTATAAGAAATATTTTGTACAAATTTTGTAAATTCTATCTATTGTCTATTGTGTTTAATTTACTAAATAGTGATAAATAAGTTTAAATTATAAAGAATATTTTGAACAAATTTAGTAAATTTTCTGATTGATATCTAATTTACCAAAAATAAGTGATGCAAAAAACAATTATATTTTTCAGTTTAAACTATATTAAATATAATCTTTCAAACATATTTGTTAAATTATCTGAATTATATGTAATTTGCTAAATATTTGAAAATGCAAAAAGAATTTTATAAATTATTATTATTAAATTTCTATTCTAGTCAATTTGAGCTATAAAGTGAAGAAATATTTAAACAATTTTGGTAAATTATTTTTATTGTAATTAATTTCCTGAACATTTAATAGAATGCAAAAAGAATTGAAAACATAGAGAATTTTATAAATTTAATATATATTAAATATCGATTATCATATTTAAACAAATTTGGTAAATGCAAAAAGAGTATAATCAGAATAATTATGAATCCCAATAAAAATAATATAAAGAACTTTTCAAGCATGTTTTGTAATTTACTAAATATTTAAAATAATGTTAAAATAATTGAAAGCATAAAAAATAATTATTATTATTATTAAAAAAACTGTTAATATGATTTTATGTAAATCGAGTAATTTTGATAATTTATTATTAATATTAAACATAAAATTTATATAATTTTCAAAATAAATTAGTAAAATATTTGCTTGAACTTTAATAGTTCAAATTAAACAATTAAATGAAATAATTTAACACACTTAATAAAAAGATAGAGTATTAACCCACTAAACCAGTTACGTAATATTACGTAATTTTTATGTAAGAAATATGTAATCTACATTACGTAATTAGATATTACGAAAGAATTACATAAATATTACGTAATTTTCTTGAAAAAAATATTACGTAAGATAAATGAAGATTTTATTTCATATATATTACATAAACTAGTGGGGCGCATGGCATCGTGCCGTTAGGCAAATTGTTGGAACTTCCCGTACTAATAATTATTTTGTTTTAAAAAGATTAACATTTTTGAAAAAATTTTACTTTGAAAAAATTAGATTTTTGAGAAACTATAAAATTTTGACAAAAAATTACCTTTTTTGAAAAAAAGACTTTTTAAAAAAAAATAATTGCTTTATATTGAAATATTTTGAAAATTCTAAACTTTTTTTCAAAGTAATCACTGCATTAACTGCATAGAGACGAAATAAAAATGGCTCGCAAATTTTCGGAACATTTCGTTTCATGAACGAAGCTGTCAACCAATGAACGGCGCTAAGTGACATAAGTACCGTTATGTCTGCAAGGAGACTGCCGTGCCGAGGCCGCCGGCCCTCCGCCGGCTGCGGCACGGCAAAGGTATGGGAATACGATTCGCCATGCGTTTTAAATTAAGTTTTGTGTTTTGTAGTGTGTTATCAATATTTTTAATTTGCTAATTAAATGTGAAAGTGATATTAAATATGTGAAGATATATGTTTATTATAAATGTATTCTAAAGCCTCTTAAATTACATGAATTACTTAAATCTTTACTCTAAAACGCTCCATTAACCTAAAAATTAATCGTGTGTGTTATTAATTTTTTTTTCTAATAATAATTAGATATATAAAGAACTTTGTTTCAAATGTAACGGTATTCATATTCTAAATACTATTTTATTGTTAATATAAATTCAGTGACAAATAACAGAATCACTTGGCCTTTTGAAAACCATTTGCTTTGTGTAAGTATATAAAAAATATATGTATCAAAAGTTAAATAGAAATTATTACCATGTTTTTTATTTCAGGTGAAAATCGAAAGCTAATAATTTATATCCGAGATGCATTTTTTCATCACAAATGGGCCATGAAATAGATATCGAGAATGCTTTTGTAGAGAAGACATCATAGACTTATACCACATTTAGTTTTAACAGAAGATACAGTTCCTAATTACATAATATTTTCCATGAAATAGTTAGTGAAAGAACTTATGAAGACTTTGTAAAGGATACTTCGATGATTTTTATTTTGAGTTTAATTTAAAATTAGCATTTCTCTTACTTATCATTTATCATATTGTATATTTTACCATTTGCCATTAAAAAATGTTGATCAATATGTCATATGTAATTACATTATTTTATAAAAATTGTGAATTATTATTTATTACTTTATGGATTTTCTAATGATAAAATTGTGAAAAAATAAACATGCCATATAAATGTGCTTTTTCTTTCATTTTTCAGATAGTGTATATATATATATATATATATATATATATATATATATATATATATATATATATGTATGTATGTATGTGTGTGTGTGTGTGAATATGTATGCATGTGTGTACATACATATATATTATATATATATATGTACATACTGTGTGTATACTCATTTCTATGTTCATGAATGTGTGTGTTCATATATACACATATGTGTGTATGTGTGTGTTCATATATACAGATATGCTGTGTATATTTATGTATGTGTGTAAAAAAGGACCCCTCCACGTCATTTTTTTTTCAAAAATTACGTAATTATTATGAAATATTTTCGTAATCCATATTACGTAATCCACATTACATAAAATAGGCGAAATTATGACATATATCTTACATTAATCTTACGTAAAAATGACATAAGTATGTCATTTTTTTGCGTAAAAATTACATAAATATTACGTATTTTGGCTTAGCGGGAAGTATCCTTTATAAAAAAAAATAACTCTTGAACAACTTATTATATTAATATTAATAAAATTAGAAAAGTTCCTTCTTCAAACTATTTATTTAACTTAATAAAAAATATGCATAATTTAATAAGGTTTTTTAATGAAAAAAATAAATAAACATACAAATCAGACAATCTAGTTCTGAATTTATTAGTATTAACTTTACATAATAATTTATATTAAATCAATAGTAATTAACATAATTATTTAAGCAGAGTGTTACTTTTAATAATTCACCCTTATTGTTAAATT